ACAAATTAAAGAGAGAGAACCAAAAATTAATTATAAGTCTCCTTTTAGTTAAAATATTCTGAAAAATCTTTCTCACATCATCACAGTACTCATTGTTGGAATGCTGAAGCGGAATTAACTAGAAATTAAAATTTTCTTTAATTCTATAAAAGAGATAGTCTAGATGTTCACGTGTATGTTATATGAAAAATAAAGAATTCAAATTTTTATCTAAATTCGATGATCAATTCTTGAATGAATTCTAAATCACGAACTTCCAACTTTTTGGATCACGAACTTCCAGTTTTTTAATTTCAAAAATTTGATGCTTCAAACTTTCAAGTCTTCTATGGTATTTTCCATAGTCAAGACTAGACCGATGGGTGAACACTTTCTATTAATTAAATCAAGAAACCAATTCTTGAACTGGACAATTGAAAAATCAAGAAAAATAATTGTCTCTTTTTTTTCCTTCAAAATTTGAACACCATGAAATTATGTATTATAAATGTTGTATAATTCCATTCCATAGTATGTTTATGATATATCTAATCTTTATCTATAGAGATAGAAGAGTTTCAATCCTTATACAATAATAATTCCACATTCAAATAGGAGTTCTAATTAAAATTAGATTCCAAATTCAATTAGTTTGCATTTAATTACATGTATAGTCCTAAAATTTCAATTATAATTAAGTTTACAACTTTCATTGTAGTTACAACCAAGTACCAAATTTTATTGTAATTACAATTAAGCCCAAAACTATTATAATTACCGCAATTATGTTCTAATACTTTATGGAGCTAACACAAGGACTTGATCGGACATATATTATCTAAGCTCCAATAATTAGATCCTGTCTAGTCTACCCTTGACCACCTAATCTAATTAGTAGTCTTTGTTTTTTCCACTAAAGACAAAAGACTAAACTTTTGAAATATATAAGATCGCAGAAGCCAATAAATCTGTAATATTTTCCTCTGACCTGTCGTATATGTATTTTATCCCCATTCGAGATCCGATAATTACGTACGAGCATTAATGACCGTTTTGCCCATCTAACTATTCTCATTAATTTAAGTTTCATTTTCTTCAACGATCCTATGAACTAATCACAGATGTCGAAGTTTAGTCGTCGTTAAACACTGAGTTCAGATTTCAATAATTCAACAGAAAATATTTAAGTAGTCACTCTATCCATTTATCAGGGTGATGGTTCTCGACACAAATTCATGTTTTTTACTCCACCTATTCTCAAGTTTCCAACTCATTGAGATATTTAACCAATCAAATTGATCTCACCCATTGATAAATCAAAGAACCATTAAAATCACGAAAAGATATATGTAATTTTGTCAAGAGATTTAAATGAAAATACATAATGGTAAAATGTATTTAATTCTCTGCACGGTCATGTTATAGAATTAAATTCGACATGCGGTCCGTTCAATACATTTCAAGTGTACTAGTGTCACATTTAACTATTTCTATGATAACGACAAATCATAAATCCGAATATTGAATTGGTCAACACTACAACCTTCCAGTACAAGGTGTCAACCCTTATACATAGGTTGTGAACAAATTATTTACGATTAAAATATAAATTGTGTCACACTATACTTCTCAATGCTAGTACCCAACTTATATTATCTCAAGCGATCATAGACACTTTAATTTGCAGGATCAATAATAAATAATGTAATAAACCACAATTTATTTATTATAAATGATTATTTTATCATAGAAAAATATTCTATATGGGCACACAACTCAATACTTGTTTCCTCTTCTTCCTTGCCTGCCACTTTTATCTCCCTTTCTCCACCTTACTGCATATCCTCTTTCTTTTCACCCTGTGTCCCTAGTCTCATCCGCTGACATTCCTAGTGACATTGTTAAGGAAAATGACTAGTATCTTTAACCGTTATTGATATATCCTATAATGAAGTAGAACAATGAAAGAATTGCTCATACGAATCACTAGATGGCGAAACCTCATCACAACTGAGTCTGTAAAGGTCGAGTAGACAAAAATTGTTAAAATGTCACTTGTTGCTCATAACTCAACTTCAAAGGGTAAAATGATTAACACTTAATTTCAATGGAAAAGAAAAACCAAGCCCAGTTGTCGCCACCCAGACTCAAATCTTAATCATCTCCTCACCCCATCTCCCAACTATTGCCAGCCCCACGGTTCCCTACCCAAGCCCACGATCCCCACCTACAAGTGGTCTTTAAGACAATCAGGATTCTAAAGTGTTACTTTGCTATGTGGATGATATAGTTGTTACTCGAAGTAGCAACTTGGGAGCTATGTGGATGACATAGTTGTTATTTGAAATAGTAACTTGGGAATTTAAAGGTTTGTTGCACTGTTGATGGCTAATTTGCTTGACCATCCAATTACCATCTTGGTATTCAGGTAAGGAAGATTGAAATCTGGGGTGGCATTTATCTCAAACAAACTACATCCGTAGATTTGCCAGAGAAGGATAAAATGTATGAAGCTAAACCTGTGCCAAACACGTAGTCAAAAGTGCCCAACTATCCACTAAGATAATAGATGCATGAAATCCAACCCACGAAAGATGCATAGCAGGAGCTCTACACTGTCACTAAAACAAGACCGAAGATTTCATTCTTAGCTTTCAAAGTCTTTTTATTTTTGCAGACTAACTGGAATGCCGTAACAAGCTTATTCACACAAAAGATCAAGAATGTAGCATTGTACGAAAGATGAAAACAGAATGATCAAGACACGTGTTTCTAATGGTTTCAGATAACAAAATGCCTGCATCTAGTTAGGGCATCCATTAGAGTACCGACCTTATAGATAGATTACAATGCTGGCCTAAAAACGTTCTTTAATTAAAAGATACTTCTACTATGAGTTTTGACGAAAAGCTAATTAATTCCTTCCTATTAGCGTGTCTGCTATCCTTTCATGAGTAGCTCAGAATGCACAACAAACTCCATCCAACTAGAACTGGAGTTTAATTCTTTTAGCGAATTTTTAAACTGACAAGTGCGCACAATGAGTTATAGCGGCTGCTATACCAAATCAACCCTGCTACACAAACAAGGGCCTGTGACAGGGTAATCTGGAAATTCAAGTTTTAGATGTGGTGCTGACACCCTGTCAAAGGTCCCCGCATGAGTAGCAAAATTCACATCCAATTGATGAACTATTAAATTTTCTGTCACTTGATAAGGAATAAATGACATTTTCTTATTGTAACTTACAAAAATGACCAACTAGATGCACCGTTTAAATTTCTTTATTTTATCCCTGACGTACTATCTTTAATTACGTCTATAGCCGTATAAACAAAATAAAACCATTAATATGATTAGCTCTAGATGATAGAATGCGGCTGATTGCATCATGATGCTTAAGTTAGGGTTTACCATAATTGTCTGGACAAAGTAGAAGAATAACAGATTTTTGAATTTAATTTATCAATGCATGGAGTGAATATCAGGATATTTATCTAAAGACTGAAATGTCGATCTCTTTTCATGTGATAGCTGCTAGGACTTTTGATCGAAAAAACGTAGCAGATTTTAATATCTAGCTTTTTGCAAAACTCCATGTACAGGAATCAAGCAAGATACATCTTGGAAAATATGGGTAATGGGTCGTCCATGTGAGGTGATCCGACTAGCAAGATTTTAAAAGGGTTGGAGGGAGTGATTTGAATTTGGAATTCAAATCTACAACTCCCAATAAACCTCCTTACAACCTCCATATAGAAGTTATAGAGAAAAAAGAATGGTGGCTGGCATGAAAAAAAGTGAAAATTTCTATGGAAATTCATACCAAAATTAGAAAGTCCCTAGAACTATACTTTTAGCATAAAATCTCACAAAAAAAAAAAAATCGCACTTAAAATGTGGATAATAATCTCCTTCCATTGTAATCGGCTTTTGGACAATTGGAGAACAACAAAATGCAAATTTTGGAGCTTTGGTATGCAAGGTGATTCAACCACACAAAATGATCTTGAAATTCATTATTTCAAGTTAGTATCTTGATCCAAAATTCATGTTAAAGTATGCTGCAAATTTTTACATTGGTATCAGAGCAATACGATTGAATTTCTTGCTGTAATTCATACTTAAATATGTCATTACATGACACAATTTGGCCTATGAATCTTGTATGCAAAGTTTTGAAACCTTACGTGGTATTTAATGGCATCATTTGATAATTTACTGCCATTTGTTCGTTCATCTTCATGCAGTAAGATTAGTATGATTTGAAAGGTCTTCTTATAAGCTTTCCAACCATATAAAGAACTCAAGTTTTTGACTTAAAACGAAGAAGTTATGAGGCTTTGAAATTTGGAAGATAATATGAATTTTAGGCATGAAACTTTATAAAGTCCTGAAATCCTTCACACGATAACTTTCTATACATTAAGTCTCATGATGCCTCTTTGTATGGTTGGATAGATCTTCTCGAGACCTATTCAACGATATAAAGATCATTAACTTGGGCTTGAAATGAGAAAGTTATGTCCTCCCAAATTTTAGATGTAAATTTGATTTTTTGAGTGAAAATTTGTAAAATCAGAAATTTCATTAGATGATAACTTCTTTCACATTTTGTTTCATGATGCCCATTTGGTATGCTTAGATATATCTTCTTGAGTCCTTTCCAATGATATAAAGGGCATAAAGTTTGGCCTTGGAATGAAGAAGTTATGGCCCTCTGAATTTTAGGTATAAATTTGATTTTTTTTTTTTTTTTGCGTGAAAAAAGGGTAAAATCCGAAACTTCATCACATGATAGCTTCTTTCACACTATGTTTCGTGTTGTTCATTTGGTATGATTGGATAGATCTTCTCGAGACTTTTCCAATGATATAAAGGACATAAATGTTGGCGTTGAAATGAAAACGTTATGGCCTCCCGAAATATTAATAAAAATCTGAAAATTCTATTCGTTTTTTTTAAAAGATGAACAATACTTTTTTCCTATTTTTAGTCACGACCAGATCTGTTTGGATCCAGAACATGGTCCTAAAAGTTGATATTGTAAAATCTAACCACATAAATGAACTCAGAACATCAAAATCGATTAAAAGGACGAACCAACAAATTTTTTTGAATAAACGCTGCTGATGAGCGTGTAGTAGACATTCAGTGTCCTTTTTTTTTATATAAAAAAAGTTAAAAAGTTGGAATGTCAAATAAAATTGCCTTGTTCTCACGTTCGGCGTTATTCAAATACTTTAAAAAAATAACATTGAAAACGTTTACAAAAATAAATCTAAATAACTTGTTCACCGGATTTTCCATGGGCTCGTTGCACCACTCTCCATCTTTTCCATCATCCAGGCTCAAGGTAGAATTATATCAATCTGTAGAGAAGAGGTTAAACCCGTGAGTTAAAAAAACTCAATAGATATTATTGGTGCATTCGTGGTCAAGCTATACATTTCAAAACTGTAACTTTAGAAACCTTTTCATAGTAGGATTTTCGGTAGAATCCCAAACACATAGAGTCATGACTTAACACGACGCTTCGACCGGAAGTACATGCCGTACCCGGAGGTACTATTAGATATGGAGGTGTATGCCGTACCAGAGGTACCATTAGACATACAAACATTAACATAAATCTTCATTTGCTAGAAACTTTTAACTTAACACGAATTAACACTTTGCACCTCTACCTACATTGATTGATGCTTTGAACTTTGTTGAAAAATGCACTCCTTTGATGTTTCAAAAAAAACACTTCATTGAGAATTGATGCTTGGAAAACACTTTTTGATAGCACCAAAACTTCTAGGAAAAACTAATTTTTCTCCCTATCCTTTCTCTTTTTTCTAGACTTGAAAACTCTTTTTTTTATATTTAGAAGCTTTTGTCTTGGTGTGAAAAATGTGTATGCATTGGGGCCTATTTATAGGTGAAAATCTCACAACTTAAGGGCAAGTAAAGAGCCTAATACTCATTAATACGGGTGCCATTTATGTGGGAGTTATAGGTTTAAGAAGGTGCTAGAAAATCGTGTAGGAATTTGACTTTTCCTAATCCGCGTACTTCGATTGATACTGTACAGCCTTTGGTATTTCTATCATAACTTCTTCTCCTGATATCCGATTGAGGCAATTCAAAGTGTGTTGGAAAGCTAACTCAAAAAGCTACAACTTTTCTCTAGATATCATTTTCCAAATCGAATGTTTTCTATGTCGTAAATGGGTATAAAATGAGACTAAAAATTTGAAGTATACTTTAGCCATCCAATATTCATGTCTTAGTGCCACTAAGGTGTTTAAAATTATTTGGGGTTCTACAGCATAAATGGGCATTGGTTGAGAATAAAATGTCTCAAAAAATATGATAGATCATGACATCAAAATCTATAATAGTTGACCTTAAAAAGGTGATAAGCTAAGTGAGATAACATTTGGCATGCTAAGATTTTGAGTGTACTAGAAAGACATGATGCTTTAGAAAGTATCAATCACGCAATAGAAGACCTTATGTAGGTCATACTACTCTAGAGAATAAAGATCAGAATTTCGTTAAGCATGAGAAAAGATAGATTCTAGTACTTGAACATTTGAATTGTTAATTTATGATATAAATGAGTTTTTTCTCGAATGTGACTTAGTTGATGGTTAACATATTGTTAACATTTTCGTTGGTCACATTATTTTTGGATGAGCAGTAAGTTTAAACTAGTCTCTTCTCAGTATATGAGAACTTTGAAAGTCATTGTGACTTACAAATTGAAGTGTCAATTTTTTATATTGACACTGCCCGCTATGTGAGTTAAAAGACGTGCGACTTGATGTTGCTAAGTCTCGAGGACATGCTTGCGTAGCAATGTTCTAGTTTGTGTAAAACTTTGAATCCTAAGTAGTAAATGAGCTAGAACAAATGCGAGATAAATGACGAGACTGAAAAAGGGACCAAGAAGAATATATCAGACAATAAGTAAATGAAAGTGATTTTGATAAAGGATCAATAAAAGGTTCAAGTGCTTCAATTATGAGATTTGAATCTCTTAGCTCTAAAGTAGTTAAGCTAAATGATGTTGCACTTGAATATAATCCTCTTAGTGCTGTTTATGTGTCAACACTATATATATTGGATTTTATCTTGTGTGGATCATGGATTCAAGGACTAGAAACCCACTTTATATAAGACAAAGGTATATTATTCTATTGTCGAGTCTTTGACTTGATAAAAGTAAATATATACAAATAATGATGATAGAGTGGATTTTTATATGCTTGATACTGCAACTTAGTGTTGCAAAGTGAAGAAACTGATCTCCTATTCGATTTTGAGATAGTATCAAAGACTCCATTAAATTTGATATCAGTTATTGTTCTTCGAAGAGTGGTCTCTTACTTAAACTTATACGTGGTAGTTCTGTTCATACTCATAGTGATGATGTTTATTATGGTTCTAGATATTTGAGCAATGGTTTGAGGTTTTAAGTTGAGAAAATCATTCAAAGCTATAAAAGCTAAACTTCCATAAATTCATCCGAATTTCTTTGCGGGCTATGATTAAGAGAGCTAGAGATAGAACTTCATTTTTTTTGTTACATTTATAGATGGATTCACGCATTTCAGATATGCCTCTAATTTTCTTAAGTTGAAAGTATTGTGTTGGTTTAGACTTTTTTGAAGCCGAGTAGAAAATTAGAATGTGGAAGTGAAGACTTTGAGAATTATATAATGGTGTGAATCTCTATCACTAGATATCAATGATCTATGTAATGAAAGAGATTCTTATTTGATAGACTATTCCTTAATCACCAATAATTATATGGTGTATTTGATTGAATGAATGTAATATTACTGAATATGATGAGGTTTGAGATATACAGTCCAACTTATGTATTTGCTTTTGGAAAGAGCGTTGGCTAACTACAACATATCAGTTAATGGAGTTCTTTCAATGTTGATACTTTCGGAATATATAAGTTTTGGACACGTAGATAACCAAATGTGTGTTATCATAGACTCATAATGGATTTATATGTTCTGGATAATGAGTTCGGAAACATGAGTCTATCGAGAATGAGATGTGCCTCGATGACTTATATGTAGTCCAAAAAAAGGTATTTAAGTGAAATTTTTGATGGATGTCAATTGATGAATCAGTTTTGAATATATAAGAGTTGATTCAAACTTCTAATTTAAATGGGAGTAATCTATTTTTGAGTTTGACCTATCTATCTGAGTGTGAACCATCCAAGAACTATCTAATTCCAATGACTTTTGGTTTCGAATGGGAACTGAGAGCTGTTTAATATCAATGATTCTCGGTTCCGAGTGGGAGCTTTGAACTATTTAATATCAATGATTTTTGGTTCAGAAAACTAGTGGAAAATTTTAAGGAAATTATTGAAGTATATATATGGAGTTTAGAATTTTAACCTACTTTGGGATATGGTGGAAGTTTTATTTGGACATTATGTTTACTGAGAATATTCGCGTTCTTGAAAACTATGTGGAAGACTAATGAGTTTTTGATATATAAAATCATCTTTTTGATAAAGGTTATACTCAATATGAGTATAATGAACTAAATAAAAGAATTTCATGACAATGGAAATCGCTTCTGTACGTTGATGCTAGCCATGATAGTATGTTTATATTTAGAGTTACACCAAATAAATCAAGAGACTGTATTTTTATTCTCAATTGAGAAATAATTAAAGAGATCAACATGAATCATCTTGTAAATTTTATGCTAAAGGCTTTTTTTAGTATTGTGGTAATTTTATAGTTACACTTATGGCCTAATACAGTCATCTTGACCGTCGTATTTGAGTTTTTAACAGGGTTAAATCTCGTACAAAAATTTTCGTCATATGGACAAAAATTATTATATTTATGTAATGGTCTGATGGTAGGTTGTAATTCTAATTTTAATGTTGATTATATTGGATTGACTAAGTATGAAAAGGAATGTATAGAGACCACTTTGAAATGGTTGTCCTCGATCTTTGAGACAAAGATGTGAGTTTAGCAAATTGTATGATTTGTATTAAAAAGATTATTCGAGTATTCTTACTCTATCACAAAAGCTTTATTCTATAAGAACTCATGTGGAATTGCTACCTTATTGGTACCTCTATATCGGAAGGTAATCATATGAGTCTTCATAAATGCTCAAAGACTCCATAAGGGCACAAAGAAAAAGAGTCAGGAAATAGAAGTTTACTATAATGTATACTTGCCCTAACATTGGTCATGACATGGATCTAGTCAGTGGGTATCCATATTATTTTTAGAAAATGTATTGTGATACCTGAAGAGTGCTGCTATCAACTATTCTATCTCGTTGCCAAAAAAAAAACTTGTGATTGGGATAGAAATACAATTATCGACTAAGAATGAGATTTAGTCGAGCACAATTAGTTACTAAACTTGTGCATTCTTGCTATATAGAGTAGCAATAAACATATATCATAATTTATATCTTGACAGCTAAAGAAATTGTTTGGTATAGATGTATTGAGCATCTAATAATACTAGTTGAGAATATGAGATTCATGATAATTACGAAACTATCTTATATGTTAAGATCTCAAGTATTAAAATGGAACCAAACACTTGATGGTATTTTTGTGAGAGACATTAGCAAAAAAGTGTCTTTGCAATATATCTACATAAATGATTATACATAATCATTATAATATGAAGATGTCTAAAGATATATTTTTTGGTAATATTGAATCTCTAGAATTTTGTAGAATATGATACTTATTGTATCAGAAAACTCTTGATTGAGTTTTGTGTGCCCATAGATGAATAATTTTGAGTTCATGTGTAATTTAGTGTCGGGATTATGAGATAAATAATTTGTATGCACATATAAAGTATGTCTAACAGGTTGAGATTGGCTCGCTCTCACAAGCAATCACCTCAGACACTTTGAGATGTTCTGAGATGAGACACAGTGATCATATTGTGTACATGATCCAGTCGTCTTGATAAGCTATCAAGATGAGATTACAACAAGTAATTGAAATAAATTTTGTTATCCATTAAACCTGTTTAGTAGCCAGATCGGGTTCTCAATTTGAGATTACCTAGAAAAATGAATATAAAGAGAACTCAAGTTAGGTATCGGGGAATACCTGAACTAGGATCTGTACGTTATTATTTGTTGACAAAAAATATGACATACACTCCAAGAAAGAGAGAAAACATCGTAGCATGTGTTTCATACCACGTGTACTTGTACGACTAATATTAGGTAAATGAGTGAATGGATACCTGCTTCCTCATTGTGTGAGATCCTAAGGTTTATATAACATCATATATACCCTTATGACTTTTGACTATTTTTTGAGATTTTATTTTAGTGTTGCTACTTTAACATGTTGCCAATAACTATGATTGATTTCGTTTGATGGGACATGTCTAGAAAAATAGCCGATTTAAAATTGAAGGATTCAAGTAGGAAAGGAAACTATTTTGACCAACATTTTTGTTTGTATTTACCGGCCGAACAATTGTGTTTAACTATTTAGGGTATAGAACACAGTTGTGAATATAATGATACGATGTGGTGTTCAATATGTTCCATAAATACTCGAGGCATTGGAAATACTTGAGTTAATGTTGGAAAACGAGTTTGGGGTATAGCGACATGTGATGTTCCTCTAACAGAGCTACTATATATCCCTAATAGGTTTATAGTAACGTGAGCTCTAATATTACTCAGTCGTCGCACAATCTATTTATCTTATGAATTTTTGTGAGATAGATTTTGAGAAAGGTCTAAGGTGTGGCATTCGTTGTCACTTGTGGTTCGGATCAACCCCATCATGTGTGAGTGGAAGATGTTGGAAAATATGGGTAATGGGTCGCCCATGTGGGGTGACCCGACCCCCAAAATTTTAAAAAGGTTGGAGGGAGTAGTTTGAATTTGGAATTTAATCTATAACTCTCAAAATAGCTCCTTACAACCTCCATATAGAAGTTATGGAGAAAAGAAAAAATGGTGGCATGAAAAAAGTGAAAATTCGTATGAAAATTCACATCAAAATTAAAAAGTCCCTAGAATCATAGTTTTGGCATAAAATCTCACAAAAAATGGCACTTAGATTGTGGATAATAATCTCATTCCATTGTGATCGGGATTGGGATCATTGGAGAACAAGAAAATGCAGAATTTGGAGCTTTGGAATTCAAGGTGATCAACCACCCAAAAAGATCTTAGAATTCATCATTTCAAGTAAATTTCTTGACCCGAAATTCATGTTAAAGTATGCTGCGAATTCCTACAATATAAAAAGATGGAATTGTATCCAAAAGAATTTCTGGAAAACACCTTCCAACTTGAGCCAAAAACAAATTATGCGGCAAACTCACAATGAAGACATCAAACCATTAGTATTACAATATGAAACTTCTATGAAATGTCCGGTTGCTTTTTTTCTTTCAATCAATAAATCGTGGACAGGGGTATCCTAACCCCACATTAGGTCTAAGTGTATGTTGCTGGTATTTCTGATAAATAAAAAAATAAATCATTAGTATTACTGCATGCAAACTTCTGATATCGGGCAGCAAGCATTGTTACTGTCATAGAATTTTCAGAGAGGCGACTCTCTTCAAGAATCACATTAGTTTCATTAGAACTCCTTTGAATGAAAAATCTAGGTTTCTTCGGCTGAGGCAATGTTACGCCTACATTTCCCAGCATGAAAACTATAGATGCCATCGTTGGTCTGTCTTCTGACAGTTTCTGGACACACAATAGAGCCACATGAATGCATCTCAAAACTTGAGACTCATCATAGAATTGCTTTAGATAGTCATCAATTATTTCCATGGCCTTGCCTTCATTCTACAGTAACCATGCCTTAATCCAAGAACAGCATCATGAAATTATGATAAGTTGGCAAAAAAAGGAGGAAAAAGAGTTTACTATTATATGGACTTACATGTCCCAAAAGATTATGATGGTGATCTGGATGACTAAATTTCCTATTTTTTGCACCACTCACAATCTCTAGTAAGAGAACACCAAGGCTGAAAACATCCGACTTCGTTGAGAATTTCCCATCAACAGCATATTCAGGGGACGTATAGCCACTAAAATGAATCCTAATATGATGAAGCATAATAAAAGCATGATGAAGTGCAAGAGGAGAAAAAAATAACTGACAAATCTTACAATGTTCCAATTACTCTTGTTGTTTGGGCTTCATATTGGTCTCCTCCAATACTTCTTGCAAGTCCAAAGTCAGAAATTCTAGCGTTCAAGTCACTGTCCAATAATATATTGCTGGTTTTGAGGTCCCTATGTATAATCCTTAATCTAGAATCCTGGTGAAGATAAAGTAGCCCTCTTGATATTCCCATGGAAATTTCAAAGCGATTTTCCCATGTAAGAAACTCTTTTCTACTTTCTTCTGCACATTTTATTAAACAAAATTGAATGTAGTTGAAGTATGTAAAAAGGAGATCTTGCCATTATCAATTTTATAATCATACCAAATATGAAGTAGTCCAAGCTTTTGTTAGGCATATACTCGTAGATAAGCATCATTTCTTCTCCTTCAATGCAACACCCAAGTAGCCTGACAAGATTTCGGTGTTGAAGTTTGGCAATCAGAACTACTTCATTTTTGAACTCTTGTAGACCTTGCCTAGAACTTTGTGAAAGCCTCTTCACTGTTATTTCTTGTCCCGATGATAGCTTCCCCTAAAATGTTTTTTGAAATTGAAAAAGTCTTAATGATGCCATTTACTTGTAAGCAAAAAACAATTTTCGTTGATGCCTACATACCTTGTAAACACGTCCAAAACCACCCTCTCCAATCATGTTATAGCCTGAAAAGTTGTCAGTAGTAGTAGCAATAGTTGCCATGTCAAACAATGGTAACTCTATCTCATTCTCGATCGTCATTGAATCTGCGAAAGATGGCTTAAGTCAATGGGAATAATTGTTGATACATGGGTGTTTGATCAATAGCAAACACGAAAAAAGTTCATAATTTATCCCCTTTATACATGTGCTACAACTAGCATTGGACGACTCTAAGTGAATGTTTGATACACAGTACTCAATAAGATTTAAAAGTAATGCACATGATTTTAGCTTCTTTTGTTCTTTAATAAGTAATATTATGTGCTATCAAATACTCCCTATCAAACTTGTCATGAAAAATATTGTAATTTAGTCAATAAAGATTCTTTGAAAATGTTTACTTTTTACCTCTTCTCTTTTTCCTCTTGTGCAATGCACACCAAGCAAATGAACCTAGGAAAAGCATCCTGCTGGCTGTCGATAATACTGCAATCATTACTTGTCTGTTTTTCTTTTTAATTTGATCTGAATCTAATGCAGCAACAACAACAACAATTGAGCTGACACACACAACAACTTAATACATATTTAAAAGAAAGATCAATAAGTAATGCTTAGTAAATTTACTGGTTATGTTCAATTCATTAAAAATAATTACATGGATGATTAATTTCATATCTACCTTGTTCTGAAGCAGCCATGCGAAAGTAAATATCTTGCTCACTGTCTTTTTTATCAAGTTCTCTAAGATCAGTCAGATTGCCAAACCAAATGAAACAAGTTCTATCATCTCTACCAATATCTGAACTTGCAAAAGCCGTGCAAGAACAATTCTTGGGGCATTCTCTCCTACAATCCTTAAGGCTCATGCTTTTATTGAGCCACAGTTTAAGGTCCGGCAATTTCACATTTCCAAGCCTCCTAAACCAATCTCTTTTCTCGCAATTTGTTGGAGTCCCCCTAACGCATCCGCTCATCCAATTAAGTCCATCCCATTCTCTCTGTGATATTGGAATAAAACCCTCCAAGCACTCACAAATTGGGATCTTACTGATTCTGCAAATGCCATTAGGGCCACACTGTCCGTACGTATTACATAAGTCATATTGCACTGTGAACACATTAATCCAATCAATGTCTCCTTCATTCTGTACTGAGAGTTGTATCATTCCAGATTGATTCAATGTCAGTTTCGAGATTATGGCGTTACCACTAATCTCATGCATGAAATACAACTCTTTGTTGTTCCAAACAAAGTTATATTTGTTAACTTGATTGGCTAACATACCAGAGCCTTTAATAGATTGTCCATTCCATGCCCCAGACCTATACATCTTCTTTGATCCTTTACGAAGCATGAGTTGGGGAGTTCTGAGATAATCAATTCTGTAAGTGAAGTCTCCAGGCGCGGGTCACTTTCAGATTTCCATGAACTTAAATATCGATTCAGTCGACTGCTTAAGTTCCATCCCATCTTCATTCCAGGTAATTGTGTATCTGTTGGGAAATCAAAGCTTTGCCACAAATAGCTTGGTCCATACATATCCTTCTTCCTTATCAGCACTAGATTTCCTGATTCCAGAAGCTGTGCAATTGAATATTGTCCTGGTTTTGGACAATTTGGTGACCAAATAATGCCATTCGTGCTGTTCAGGATCACAAGATTTCCATCACTACTGAATGTTAAGATCCCATTTGAGTCAGCCACAGGGTTTTCCCTATTGGCTATCCACACAACCGTCTCTGGAGAACGCTTGTACCAAATTCCCAAATATTTGTTAATGGAGCCTGGCGGGGAAAAGAAACCGAGTTCGAATCTTTGGCCTGAGGAAACTATAGTCTCACCACCGGTAATAACTTGGTTTGGCTGTATAATATCGACTGCCCTGCATAAATTTAAATGTAATATTGCGACGACCAAGTAGAAGAGTGAGATGAATAGAACGGAATCCATTCACATGTATCCAAAAGTGGAGGAAAATGTTATAGGAAACTAATCAAAGTAAATGTGTCAGAGGAGAAGATGATTTTGGAAAGATTGTGCTTGTAGGTTTACATTTACGGCAATCAGAAGCAGAGGCCTATCCAGAAAAGGCACTTAAGTTTCATTTATACTAAGAGAGAATATAAAATGAACACTAAGGATAGTATACAATTAACAAATAATATCAACATCATCTAAAGATATTCGCCCTCCAGACACAAAATTCCCTGGAACGACGCGGTTCCTGATAGAATTAAAAATGTCTATCAAGATTTATTTATTAAAAGTAACTTATAATTTGTGCTTAAAATTAAATTAAAAAAAATCTAGAGAGCTTATTAATAGAAAGTCAAAGGAGTTATATTTTCTTGACCCAATTTTCTTTGGAGGGTTCTTTATGTAATGCTGTTTCTTTTGATAAAGCACCTTGAAATTTCTTTCACACGTCTTCTATTATAATTTATAAGTGCGTCTGACCTTTTCTTATACCTTAATACAGTAGTTAGAATAAATCAATTGAGATTTTTAAAGATATTTATAGACTTTGTTAAGTGGATGATTTTATGGATTTTATGAACCTCTATGAATTTATTAAGAATTAATAAAAATCTTTCATGGAGTTCTAAATTCATTATATACCTGAAAAATTACAATCTTTTTTTTACTACCTAATTAAAAGATGCCCATAAAATTTTATTGATTAAAGTTACTACCCACGATTCAGTCATTCAATTTTGGCCCAAATAGAGTAATAAAAAACCTTTACATTAATTTCTAAGAACATAATCAAAATTTTTCGTGAAATTTCTAATAACACAAATTGTTCTTAACAAAACGAAAAATAAAATAAAAAAACATAGATCGATTACATGGAAATCTACGTTTTGAAACAACTGTTTATAATTTAAATTCAAAAGTAATGATGTACATATAGAATAATCCTGAATTGATTACAACTGAATATCTCGTAGCTTTTAAAGACTTTTTAAAAGTTTATAGAAGTCTCAATTGAATACACCTAAACTTTTAGAGAGCCTTAAAAAATTCAATTGAATATACCTAAACGTATGAAATCCTCAAAATTCTTTAAAAGTCCAAAATAAAGACACTCCCCTTAACGTAATGTAGCGTGTAATGAAAATGCGAGAATCATTAATCACTTTCTAGTTCCTGTTGATTCGCTCATGAATGCAACATAGCTGGCCGGAACTCATCGATTTCGCAAAATACAAAGTATCTGGATACATAATTGAGAATACTCAATTTTTCATTTCATTAAATTTTATTTTTCAAGACCCAATCGGTCTTACTTATACAATGCAATGTAACCTATTCTATAAGAAAAACTCACATACGATTAAATAAAAAACTACCATCAATGTAATTTTAATCATATGAAAAAATCTAAAACTATCATATAATATTAAAATCTAAAACTTCTAAAATAATTAATAATTTCCATATGGGATGCATCGTCTGTCATTTGTAATGTACACAAAATTTAATAGGAAAAGAAAAATTCTCAAATCTTTTTGCTAAACTTTATTTTTCCTTTCTTCAATGTATTTTCATTTCAGATGATGGCTACAGTTAAAATTCATATCTTCATAGACTTCAAGATATGAGATGGACTTCTATAAAACGAACTCGGTCCAATGCGAGAAAACATTGTTGATTTTCTTAAATATTTTCATTAACATTGATTTTATTTCAACTAAATTAATTACTTTATAAATCGTCGGTTCCTGTCAGTAGTTTTCCAATTGGAAAAAATAGTGTGGAATGAAATATAAGTGGACTAAAATTCTATATAAGACTTGGTTGTTGATGTCAAGTGGAGAGACATTGATAGAGCCGTAGAGGTCGGCGCACATGTGGACCAACACACAATGGCAGACAATGTTGATTTTCTTAATGTGAAAGCAGGACTGAATCTTACCACGGTGGGCCGTCCTGAATGTGAAAGGGTCCAGACTTCTTTTTCCCTGTAATTTGGATGTAATAAAAAAAAAATAGAGGTTGACAACTAATAACGGCAAACTTTCAAGTCATTGGCATACTTGTGATAATTGTAAGTCTATGACTATCTTGAGTAAGGCACTTCACAACTAGGAGGGAGAATAACGATTGTCTCTCTCTCCTCTTCAATAATTTTATTTTTATTTAAGTATAATTTACACGGGTTTATGGTTAACTGTTGGACCGTGTACAAAATCGATTTGGCTGGTCCAGATTAGTCCACCCACTTTGATATGTCTAATTTCTACAAAGGAAACAAAGAGTGGCTAAGATTGCAGCAGGCATCATAGAGACACTTTAAAACAAAGAATTATGTTACTTGTATATAAAAATGGTACAAAAGAAATTACATAAAATATTGTGGAGGAAAAAGTTGTCTGTGTTTTAATTTGATAAATGATAAAGTGATATGTGGCATTATGTAACCAATCCACCATGTAAAACTTGTTGAATATGTAGTAATGTCCTAAAACAAAATTTGTTGGGGACATTCTTTAGTGAGGGATTTTAGTACAAGGCATCGCTACAAGTATGTTCCGACCCCTAGATTGAGCAAATAACTCAATAGACCACCTAAAAATGCATCAAATTATTTGTATTCCACCTTTAACTTTTCTACCTAGCAACAAGCACTGCTAATGTCGTGACATTTTCAGAGAGGCAACTGCCCTGAAGACTCACACCTGTTTTATAAGAACTCCTTTCAGTGAAAAATCCAGGTTCCTTCGGTTGAGGCAATGTCAAGCCTAAATTTCCCAGCATAAAACTATCGATGCCATTGTTGGCCTGTCTCTAGGAAATTTCTGGACACACAATAGAGCGACTAGAACACATCTCAAAACTTGGAACTCGTCTTATGCCTGCTTCAGACATTCATCAAGTATTTCCAATGTCTTGCCATCATTCCAAAGTAACCAAGCCTTGCACCAAGAACAATACAAGTCATTGTATGGAATTTGGAAAATTTTGAGAATAAAGTTAGCTATTATATGAACTTACATGTCCCAAAAGATTATGATGGTGATATGGATGTCCCAAACTTACATGTGTTCAATTAGGATAGCGTGTTCGTATCCGATACCTATCAATCACTAATACTAACACTCTACCATGATCATTTTCTTTTTTTTTATCAAAACTATTATATGTTTATAACTCAATGTCATCATTAAATAACAAATAGGTACTAACACAAAAAAAGTAAAAATATGTATAAAACTAAATTTGTACAATATAAATGAAAAATTTTAAAGAATTTAATTGACGTATTTTAGATGTGTGGTATTATTAGTACTTTTTTGAAAAATTTGCGTATTATTGTGTCAAACACGATAGTGCATCATAGTGATCCAATGAGTGGGATGTACATATGCAAACTACACGTTCAAACTACAAAGAGCAAATTCGAGCCAATTACCTTTGGAAAAAGAGTTACACAATCTATCCCACAAAAGTAGTTGAAATCGTAAGATAATAGGAAGTAACCCTTTATTTTGAAGGAAATCATCAACTAACTTTACAACAGGAGTTCTAATAATGGAGAAGTCAAGCAGCTGCATAGGATAGTCCATTTTGACGAGAGTCACCTCTTTTAAAGTGTTATGACAGTTGTTAAAGAAGAAAATGGATAATTCTGCTATATGTTTCATTCATTCTTGAAGTCAATAAATAAGTACAATGAGGTTGCTATACAAAGAAAATTGGCTAAGATCTATGCTAACATTGTGCAATTTTCTATAAAGGTTTACAAGGAAAATTGACAAATATCCATGCTGATTTTGTGCAAGACTATGATCCATGCTGATTTTGTGCACGTTACAATCCCTGTTGATTTGCAATTGGATGGAAATGTCAATTAGACGGGGCAGGGTCACGCCCCGTATACTGCCCCATTTCTTTTTCTTTTTTTTTTCTTTTTCCTTCAAATTCACAATTTAAAAACGTTAAATTCACAATTTAAAAACGTTAACATCCAAATTAAGTACTCTAAACAAACAATATTCGAAAATAAACAATTACAAATACAATTACATTGTAACTAAATTTCACTTCTTTATCAAAAATTAAATTTGTTGTTTTTCCATCATTATAACTTTATTCATTGGCAAGTTCAGAGATTGTAGAAGATGGATCCTGAAAAATGAAAGAAATATTATACTCAATATCATCATAAATTCATAATAACGATGATTAAAATTTAAATTATGTAATAAATAAAATTACCTCCTCATCATTCATCTTGGAGCAACTTCCAAAATATGCAGATGGCGCAGAATTCGCTATTAATAAAATAAAATAATTAGTAATAAGAAAATTCATAAAAGAAACAATATAAAAAACAAATGTTTCTATACATCGTACCGTGAATATCGGCTCATAACCAATCTTGAGCACACATTAAAGCCTCCAAAGTTTTGGGGTGAAGTCTATTTCTATGTGGACTAACAAATCTACCACTAGTATTGAAAGCAGACTCGGATGCCATAGTAGATACCAGGATGGCCAAAATATCTTTTGCAATTCGAGATAAAGTCAGATATTTAATTGAATTCACTTTCCACCATGTCAATATATCAAAATCATCCGACCGAGACAATATAGGCTCATCTAAAAAAGTATCAAGCTCGATTTTCACACTACTAGGAGGTTCAACACTAGAAAAAAATTTATAAAAATTCGCCATGCGATCTGATTTATTATTAGCACTTGACGTCTCGGTTTGACAAGAAAAAGTAGAAGACTGAGCTAAAGACTCGCTTGAATAATTCTTTTTCTGATAATCGTGCACCAACTTGCCACAAACTTGATATATTTTGTCAATCTCACTTGCAGCATTGTGATTAAAAATACAAGGATAATAAAACTTAACTAACATCATCTTATACATCGAATCCAAGACTGCTGCTAAAGCCAAAACTCTATGAATATCGCTCTAATACTTATTAAACTTTTCCATCATACT